AAAAAGATCGCACAGCAATAGCATTGCAAGCGGCGCATTTATCTTCGACGCCATATGTCGGAGCTGTAAAAATAGCGAGAACGATCATCAAAATTGGATATAATTTGAACCCCGCCATTTGAAGCCAAATCCTGGTCTGTTTGATCTCTGCATCTGGGGGGAGAAAATTCGCAGCGTTTAGTTTTTTATTGAGCAAACAGCATAATGCCACATCAGCAGAGGAGTGAGGTGCTTCTATCCAATCAGAAGATCACATTTGGCACTTTGTTGGTGTTTGAAAAGTTGGGCTTCCAGATCACATTAGGGTTTTTTAGGCGATTTTTTATCAGATCAAGATTGTGTTCGATTGCTTGCTGTTGAGGGTTGTGCCACTCTTGAAAAGTTATTAGAACCTCAAGATCGCGTTGTTCATATTCTCCCCGTGATTGTAAATTCTCACATGTATAAACCAAATTATTCCATAATTGTTATTCTTGACGAATGAAATGATGTCTTTATCTGAGTTTAAGCTTTATTGGAGAACTACATTTTTCTGTTAAATTGCACTGTCTTAACTAAGGACTCTAGATGGCTATCTTATGGAGAACTACATTTTTCTTCTTTTATTTCTTTGTGTAAATCTTGTATAATCTTAAAAAGAAAAAGACGAAAAAATGACGTGTAGATATGGATATGATAGTTCTTGACCAGCGGTCATGGCTCATGAGAAGATGGAAATTTTATTTGTTACAACACCAAATTTGAAGCATGCTACCTTCTTAAGAGTGGCTATTTCTCTGTCATCATTTGAAAGCATTTCTTGTTTCTACTTTACCTTCTTAAAGATGTAATGTGAGTATGTGATGTTTCAACTTTCAAGGATGGAGTTGGTTCGTGCTTATGTCTGAAAGTTAATCTATAGTATGTTTAGTACCAAGCTTTGGATAAATTATCTTAGTAAGATGTAACTGAAAGAATCTTTACAAAATTTCCTTTTTATGATGTAAGTGAAGAAAAATGATCTCTACAAATATGGATGATGTATACCTTTTGTTTATTCATATAGAGTGCTAACTTGTGGTGTTTGGCTTCTAAAGTGATGTAGAACATGATACGAAAACAGGGAAGATCGAGATACTCTCTTGTGAAATAGAACCAGATAACATAAACTTCAATAATCGTCGTTCTGAAGTCTTACACCAGATAATAAATAGAAAAGAGAGTCCACACTTGCCAAATAACTGCAAGGACATTATTTACTTACCTACTCTATAATAAGAAATAAGGAAACTGAATAATAAAATGAAAGAGAAAATAGAAATAAATAAAGAGCTAAATCCGGAGTCGATCAAATTTATCCAAATATGCCAAGGCAACCTCGTCTCCATCATCCTCTCCCTGTTGAGAAGGATTCGGCCGCGAATCCGAACCAACCTCGTCTCCGTCGGAATTGTCACCCGCGAACGGCACCAAATGTTTGACGTTAAAAACGTCCGAAGTGCGAATATGGGAGGGTAGGCGAAGGCGATAGGCATTCGGATTAATCTTCTCTACTATCTCCACCGGACCAATCTTCCGAGCCGACAATTTGTTGAACCCATGTGCCGTAAAGCGATCCTTGGTGAGAACCGCCCAAACATAGTCACCAACCTCAAACTCGACGTGTCGGCACCGCACGTCCGCCCGTTGCTTGTAGACCGCGGTCGTAGCCTCCAAACGAGCTCAGACGGTGTCATGCGTGGACCGCAAATCCGCCACAAAATCGACAGCCCGACGATCGTCGGTCGCCGCCGGAAGCGCCACGAGGTCGGACGGGCCTCTCGGTCGCACCACATAAACCGCCTCAAAAGGGGACAAACCGGTGGCCCGACTCACCGGCGAGTTATGTGCAAACTAGGCCTGGCTCAGCCGCTGGTCCCAACTACGAAGGTTTTCGCCGACTAAGCAACGAAGTAAATTGCTCAACGAGCGGTTCACCACCTCCGTCTGCCCGTCCGTCTGCGGGTGATACGCGCTACTGAAATTCAATTGAGTGTTCGCCATCCACCACAGACTATGCTAGAAGTGACTCAAAAATTGAGTATCACAATCCGAGACAATGGAGGACAGCAGCCCATGCAAACGGTAAATCTCACGGAAGAACAGTTGAGCTACATGAACCGCATCCGTTGTGCGCTTACACGGCACAACGTGCACCATTTTCGAAAACCGGTCGACGACCACAAAGATAGAGTCAAAGCCGCGTTGAGTCCGTGGTAACCCCAACACGAAATCTATACTAACCGCACACCAAGGTCGTAAAGGAATAGAAAGGGGCCGATATAGCCCAGCATTCGAAGCCACACCCTTCAAAACATGGCAAACCCGACACCGTTCCACATAACGGGCCACATCGCGACGAAGGGACGACCAATAATAACGCCGACTCACCAACTCCACCGAGCGGTCCCGGCCAACATGCCCGGCGCCGTGCAGTTGGGCCACAAGTTTGAGCCGCAGACTCTCGTCCAGAATACAGAGGTGGGTCCTCCGAAAAAGAAACCCGTCCGCGAGGACATAATCATCCACCAGCCCGTGCGCAAGACGACCCATGATTGGCCCAAAAAGGTCGTCCTCCGCATATTGCTCCCACACAGAATCAAAATCGAGAACTGACACTCGCATATCCGTCAACAATAGGGCCCGCCGACTCAAGGCGTCAGCGACTCTGTTCGACACCCCCGAACGGTGACGAAGCACAAATGTAAACTGCTGTAAGAAAGCAGTCCAAGAGGCATGGCGTGCAGATATATTATCCTGAGACGCAAAATGACGCAATGCCTCATGGTCCGTGTAAAGAATAAACTCCCGGTGAAATAGATAATGCCTCCAATGACGGACAACCCAGACCACAGCGTAAAACTCCACGTCATGTGTACTGTATCGGGACCGCGGCCCCAAAAGTTTTTCACTAAAAAATGAGACAGGCCGACCGTCCTGGCTAAGGACAGCGCCAATTGTTAGATATGCTGTAAAAGCTTGGCTTTCAGATATGAACAATTCAATTTTGATCTGGCAATCATGTTTCGTTCAAAGTACATATGCTTGCAGTTTATTTATTTATGCAATCATAGTTCTTGTCTTACATTGAGATAGTGTGGTTCGTGGTGTCTCGAACAAAAAGGTCACCTATCGGTTCTTTGTAAGACTAAACTATTTGTTCACAGTCTTGACAGGCAGTGAGACCCCTCTAGGAAAAAGGTTGTAGTGTATTCTTGATTCAGTTGATCCTTAACTGGAGAATTACACTAGTACTTATGTTAAGTATTGAACAGGACCGTGGAAGACTAAGATCATGAGACTCACAGATCATTGTTTTAATCTAGACCTTCAATTATTGATGCGTTCTCTAAAGCTGTAAGATAGTATAAAATGGGCGTGTATATTCATTACTTGTTTATTTGATTTACCAAGGGTGATTCCTATTCCGTTAGGATGATGTATTCGGTACTTTAGTAAATGAGGATGTTTATATGACGTGCTATTATAAATTATTTACGGTCACTATGTTCCAGTGCGCTGGATTGATGACGTCCCCAAAAAGAACTCAGGAAGGAATATTATGTCAAGCCCTGCAGGTGGATGTGTATCCGATATAATGATTAAAGATATGAGTGGTACTAATTTCGAAAATGAATAAGAAGTTGATTATTTATTTTGTCAGTAATTTAATTAATCAACGGACGTTATATCTGAAACATAGGGAGGTAAATCGATCAATAAGATTAATAAATATTAATCAAGTGGAAGTTTGATTTAATTGATTAAATTGGAGCCAAATGGGGAGAGCAATAATAATATTCTAGTGGGATATATTATTATTTAATTCTAATTAGGGTTTTAGGAATTAATTTTATTCCATATTTAATATTCCAAGAATAGGGGAATATTCATTCTAGAATATTACCTAGGCTTAGGACTTGAGAGTCTTCTAGAAGGTGATGTTAGGAGGAAGAAATCATGACCTAGGTTGGATTAGTATATGGAGTAGAATTAGGATTCCTTGGCCTAATAGGATAAACCCATATTTGGCATCTCCTTAAGGTCCCTAATAGAACCTATAAATACACTATGTCCCAACCTCTTGTGCAAGACTTGATGCATATCGATTTTTCCTTATTCCTAAGAGAGAAAGATTGTCTTGATTAAGTGTTTGGGAGATTCAATTAATCGCACCACCAAGATTAATTGAAGTATGTGTTTAGGTAATCCATTAGAAAATTTTAAGGTGATATTTATCAAACCTTAAAGATCCAAATGCTCCGGCCAACCACCACCGCCGACCACTGCCGTCATCCGCCACCGGTAACCGTCGGAACTCGGCCCCACGCACCCGCACGCGCCCAGCCGTGCGCGACCTCGCAGGCAGACGCGCATACCCCGTGTTCTTCGCGCCTCGCCGTGCAGCGTCCCACGTTCCTCGCGTTCCTAGGAGACGACCTCGCTCTGCTCGAGACGCGCTGGCCTAGTCCGGGCACAAGTAGGCGACGTGCCCCACACGCCCGCGTCGACTGACGCCTCTGATGAAGATGCGATCATTGACCCATCTGAACCCGAGGACGAGGCCTACGATGACCAAGAGGAATGGTGCGCAAGCCGGAGGGACAAGCCGCGAGGCTGTGAGAAGAAGGCACGTACGCGCATAAAATGGTGCGCGCATGACGGGCGCACGGTACGCACATCAGCAATATGCATAGGCCCGATGATGAGGCGCACGGGGCAGCGGCGAGCGAAGGAGGACCACGCGACGGGAAGTTCGCGCGAGAGAGCACGAAGGGTGACACACGAGCACGCGAGTAGCGTGGCGGTAGAACAGGGAGGTGCGCGCGGGGAGGATGTTGGGTGGACAGCACGCACTGCGACCAGCCAAGGACGAGCGATCAGGCGTGTGGGGGCCAACGTGCGGACTACGCGCGAGAAGGGAGCACACGCGCGATTGGACGATGTACGAGTGCGCGGGATAGCGCGGGACGCGATAGGCGGGTACGCGCAGGGCGCGACAGGGGAGCACGCGCGAGAGGCGACGGACAGGCGAGTGAGTTGCGATGCGAATGACGCGTAGGACGCGTGGGGTGCGCATGGGACCGATGCCGAGGAGTACAAGGCTTAGCGACGGGCGGCTAGGGTTTAGACCGGCGTGCGACGCAAGCAAGAGTGGGGGATCCGATTTTATTAGCATAATTAGGACTCTAGTTTGGTTAGGAGATCTTGAATAAAGGCATGTGCCTACTTAGTTAGTTAATTAATTGGTAATTCTTAGATATTAGGATATTTAGTTTCCTTAGGAGTCTATTCTCTTTCATAATTTAGAATTCTAGTTGGAGTAGGATTAGATCTATTTAGCCTCTATAAATACTTGTCTCCTCTTGTTATTTTTCATATCCAAGTAATAAGAAAAATCGAACGTTTGTTCAAAATCCTCGTGTGTT